ACGAGGAAAATAACTGTTCCAAAGAAGCCACGAGTAGCAGATGAAAGATTGAAAAGTATTTATTCTTTTGCTACCCCATGGAATATCTCTTCCGGCCTCGTCTGTCTGATTCAGAATGAAACCAGAAACAATGGAAAGGGTTAGCATAACGATAATGTCTAATTGGAACACCAGATATCCCGACAGAGGTTCTTCGTGATTTTCCTCAGTTCCTACAGAAAAATGCAATTTTTTTTTATTGCTAGTGGGGTGGGACTAAGCTCCCTTGCACTGCGGCCACTTCTGGCCTAATGTAACAGCCCCAGATGATAGGTGAGGGTGATTGTACAGCAATTGGTGGAATGAAGATTGGCAGGGGAAACCGAAGTATTCGGAGAAAACCTGCCCCAGCGCTACTTTGTCCACCACAAATCCCACTGGACCAGACCCGGGATCGAACCCGGGCCGCCGCGGTGGGAAGCCCGCGACTAACCGCTTGAGCTATGGCGCGGCCTCTGCTTCATAGGGAAGAGCCAGGATAGCGCAGTCGGTACAGCGACTGGCTACAGGTTGAACGACCGAGGGGTCGGAGTTCGAGTCCTGATGGGGGCAAGAATTTTAACTTTTCTATCTAGTCCAGACCTACTCTGGGGCCCACCCAGAGTACCTGGGGATATTTCCTTGGGAGTAAAGCAACCGGGGCGTGAAGCTGATCATTCACCTCCAGCTAGTGCTGGACTTACACCGAAGAAGTCCATTGGACACAGATTTCTGGAACCACCTATAGTATCAAATTTTTGCATCTCGCTCTGGAGGGTACGCACGGCTGCAGTTTGGTCTTTATTTGGTTTAATGCAAGAGGTGGCTTCACATCTCTCCAGAATGCGAACTTAAAATTAATTTTTCGTGCTACGTTCATATATGTAACTGAAACACAGCGACGTGAACTTCTGTAACTAGAATAAACTAATTAAATGTATTTTCTTACAGTAACGTGGACGTCCAGCGTCGTTATATGACGTGCTGTACTTCGCCGTGGTATATGTTACACAAGCCTACAGGGGAAATGCATTCAGTGCCACAGGAACAACGCATCCTCCGTTCCTCTCCTCGTAGTACAAACGACTGCCTTCTGTTTCCGAGACTCCAAACACTGACCCCATTCCAGAGTAAATATTTGATTTATTTTTGTAACCACTTACTTACTTACTTACTTACTCATGGAGCTGAGCCCTTCTGGAGGAGCCGCCAATTCTGCAGCTACTCAAGAATTTCCCAGTATTTTATGGAACCCGAAGGTTCATTACCGTGTTCACAAGAGCCCTCAACTGGTCCCTATCCCGAGCCAGATCAATACAATCCATACCATTTCATCCTATCTCTCTAAGATCCATTTTAAATTGTCCACCAACCCACGCCTCGGTAGTCCGAGGCTTTGTGTTCAATTTCGTAACAGGCTTATATTTGTACGGCGAGGAGTTATTAGCCCCATGACCAACCCCCAAAGTGGAGGACTACCCCTTGTCTACTGTCCGCGACTGCTTATTCAATATATTCGCAGCTTTCCTCCATATTCTGTAAACATTTACAGTTCAAAGTTGTATGTGTGTGTTAGAATAAGCTTTTACTCATTTTATGTATTTCTCCCAATAGCAATATATCTCTCTTCACTCTCTCAGTCTCTCCCGCAGCTTTGCGTCACATCCTCCCATGGTGAAATGTTCAGCTGTGACGTCACGTGGGCAAAGCTACAAATCACAGAGGAAATAAAGCGAAAGCTGGCAGCAGCTAAAGCTTCTAGTCGACTGACCAACGCTCGGATTTCGGAGTTAAAACTGGGGATTTCTTAACTGAGCCCATGACAAACAATAAACATGCATGGGTTTATTTACAGGGCGAGAACATGAGACTGAGCTCGGAAGTTTCAGCGAATATGGGATCAATGGAGAGTAGGTGGGAAACGTGGGGCACTTCTCTGGGTCTTTCGTTTAATTGACCTCAGTTCCCCAAATGCAGGCTTCAAAATTTCAACCCTTGGTAGGGATGTGATATAAGCTGTCTCCCTATATTCAGGCTTGCAGCAACTGAAGGGATAAAACCGTGGTCATACAACGCGGAGGTCACATGCTCGACTCTGCATTTTTCCATATTTTTCTTTCTTTGGCGTCAGTAAATATTTAAAATGTAACGATTCGCATATTTAAAATTGATGTATTTGTAGTAAGTCCATAAACGTTGAGGCCGCGCCATAGCGCAAGCGGTTAGTCGCTGGCTTCCCACCGCGGCGGCCCGGGTTCGATCCCGAGTCTGGTCAAGTGGGATTTGTGGTGGAGAAAGTGACGCTGGGGTAGGTTTTTCTCCGAGTAATTCGGTTTCCCCTGCTAATCTTCATTCCCCCAATTGCTCCACAATCACCCTCACCTATCATCTGGGGCCGGTGCAATAGGCCAGAAGTGGTCGCAGTAGAAGGGACTTAGTCCCACCCCACTAGCAATAAAAAAAAGAAGAAGAAGGGTTCCAAAAGAGCATGGAAAGGGGTAACTTAACGTACAGCACCGAATGTGAGGTGACAATTTTTGTGAAGTACGAGCGAGAGAAGACGCAGGACGTCGGCGTAACCAACTTTCACACGAGGTCAGGTTACAACTGCAAAGAGACGGATGAAATTATTAAAAACTTTGAAAGGACAGCCAATTCCCTGACTGAAAGTTAAGCAGGGATCTTCAGTGCATACGTACGAGTTTTAACTACTCCGCAAACTTTGGTACTTTGAATTTACGGGGAAAAAACGAAGACAAATTAAAGAACATAGGGAAAATAATTTAAACTTTCACTGTCTAACAGTTTAATTCCAATTAATTTTACGATAAAAAACAGAGAAATATTTCAATTAGAGGATAAAACTAACAGTGAAATTGGGCTGAAATGAAACAAATGACCCTAATTTTATCTAACGACAATGATCATATCAACACGAAGGGATACTTAAACTTCTCCTTACAGATAAATTTGGGGGCTTTCATTGCTTAATGTCAAGAGCTTTTTGTACAGAAAGTAACAAGAAGCCAAGAGGATGTAGTAGGACTACTGCCTTTAGTATAGAAGGAAGTAAAGCAAGTGAGGCACACGACTAGTGACACATGACTACTATGTGACTGACAGAAGGATGTGTCACAATGTGTATGTCTCGCAGATAACACTTTGCATGTTGCTAAATAATTGCTACAAGCTTGTGGTTCAGTGACCGTACGTTGCTGCAACAAGGGTTACGAGATTAGAACGCTGTAGTTCATGTGTCCAGGTTCTAAAATATGGACTTGTCCTGCAATCACAACAATGCGGCAGATGTGCGCTATAAGATTGGCACGGCGTTATGTTTCAACAGTAAGGCCTGCCTACTGTGTGATAACAGGTCTCGGTTATACATTTCGTAAGGTTCTCATTCACTTACAACTTCAGCATATTTACACATTTTCACAAGGTTAAAAATAAGATCTACAATTTTGTGACGATGGTACATTAGTACAAATATTATGTTTCTAGTCATTATCCACAGTCTTGTCTTTTTCTAAAAACACCGACTTGTTTATTTTTGAAAACAAAATGTTTCGGAGACTGGATTCTGTCTCCGTCTTCACGTAAAACTTACTTCTCTGGTGAAAGGCATCACAGTGCGGAGTTTTAATAATTTAATATTTTCTTAACTCTCGCAGGCGGTTTGTGCTGTGCTCGTCTTATATACACTCTCTGGTGTCGGTACAGGTGTCCGGAGATAGGGACTAGTTCTATCGTTTGGGCCCAACTGAGTAGGTTTCACCAGAAGACGGAGACAGAATCCAGTCTCCGAAACGTTTCGAAAAGTAAGCAGGACGGTTTTTAGATAAAACAGGACGATTGATGATGTCCAAAAACCTAATTTTTTTATTTGCACAGTATATTCACTTTTTCTGCCCCCTCTTGCCTATTAACTTATTCAGTCATCACTATAAAATACACCTGTCTACTTACTGCCCGTTATTCTCATGCAGGGCCCAGCGAGGTATGCTAATTATGTGATGATGTCATGAAAATGTGTGAAAGAGACATTAGTTAATCTGTACTCTTTGTATCCTATGCGTGCGATTAAAGTACTGTTATGTTTTAGTAACTGTGTACGCAACGATAATATATGATATATTAATTATAATCAACCAACTGTTTTTATTCCTTATTAAATATTTTGATAGCAAAAGGATTTGGAAACCTTGTATTAGAGCCCATTTCTTCAGGCAGCAGAATATAAAGTGAAGTAAATTTATCCCGCCATATAGACGTATGGGAGAGTGAAGATATAGCTCCACAATTCATATCCTAGTCACTGGATGTAGATAAATGATAAGCTTCACGGTCCCGCCGCTTTAACCCCGGGAAAAGCGCTCCTGGAACCAACTGTTTTGGAGTCTGGGTGGGCTCCCAGAGCAGGTCTGGACGTTATGGAGAAAACTACGTACTTCCTCTGCACGAATCGAAACCTGTTTGCTCGTCCGTGAAGTCCGTAGTTTACTGTTACATCAACTGAGCTATCGAGGCTTTTTTCTGTTAGCTAGTAAGTCACTTGACTGAGCATAATATTTAAAACCTTAAAAAAAATATTCGCTGCCCATGGAAATCATAGTTTCGACAGGACCTGTCAGTCACTTCTTCAAATAATTCGTTAACCTACCAGTTCGTCTATACAACAGCGACAGTTGTCAGTATGATGACTAGAATCCTGACTTTATAATCGGCTTTGATTTAAGGCAGAAACATGCGTTTCTTAAAGCGTCCAAGTCGAGCGTAAATGGAGACTTCAGGTTCGTGAAAGTTATGAAGATTGCATGCGAGTGTTTATCGTCTTGCTGGCCCTCAGCACGTGAGGTATTTGGAGCCTCAGATTTTAACGAAAATTTAAATTTTCTGAGAGAATTTAAATACATATTGCGAAACAGAAATTCTTAGAAATGTTACGTCACAAACATTAAGGAAATGTTTCTTGTACTTACTATTTCCATCTACATATATGGGCGTCCAGGAAACCTGTGATATTCCGGGTATCACCCACTGCAGCAGGAAGACGAGTAGGGAGATGAAGTAGCAGCAGACTTGTGCTTCCATCTGGCGGCACGCTTCTCACTTACTAGTACGTATTATCGGACACAAGATAAGAAATTATCAAGAAATCAAAGAAATCCGAAAAACACGTGCGTCCCAAATGGTCTAACTTCCAAAGTAAAATAGTTTCAGTAGACGTATTCATTAAAACAACTTAACGAGAAGAAACCAGAGGGTCAGCTCTCGGTAACGGCTTCCATCACTGGTTTCCTTCAGCTTTCTGGTTTTGATGTGCTCTTTTTTCCCATTTCCTGAAAAGAAGGAATGATATGTCACAAATGATGTCAAAGAAGGCTTTTTGAACAATATATATATATATATATATGATTTTCTGCAATATTCTCCGTTGTATACAATGCAAACTAGAAAAAAGAAAGACCCACACAGGATAGGCAGGAAACATAAAAGTAGGTTTGTGCCGAAAAACTTATATCCCACAACATACAGACCAAAATTCTAGGATTATGTGTATAAATTTACTCTGCATTCCATGAAAACCATGGCACAAGGATGTAATGGACAGTGGAGTATAGCTCCACGCATTCTCATACTATCTGAGTGGTGAGTGGTTAAATTCATGTCCTGCCTGCTTTATACGCGCGGGAAAGGCGGGTGCACCAATTAAACAGAATGCTGGGTGGGACCCAGCTTGTCTGAGAAATATCTGCCCCTGTCGGATATGTAGCCCGCATTTCTGAACCGTCGAGCCCGCAGCCAATTCACTACACAGAGAGAGCCATGGCAACAATTTTCAGTACATATTCGATGACTATGATAAACTTATCTGCGACATTAACACTGCTACTGACAACGTTGGCAATAACATGAAAACGGAAGGATGATTTGATTGACACCATGTTCGCATTCTGATAACAGTGAAAGGAATATGATATGACGTCATACGCATGTTACAATGTACCATTTCAACCAATAAAAACAAGGATTCAGAGCGAACATACAACCGCTTTTATGTTTTAGCGACNACTGTAAGAACTGCGAAACGCTTTTCGCAAGGCGCGAACATTTTGGGTAATGCCTCACGCTCTCCAATCTCAATTTTGAGACACTACACATATGTTAGTTTTTTCACTGATTCTTAGCCTCGTTGGGCCCTGGCCTCTGATTTTCAGTGTCATGATCATGTTTACAGACGGTAGGATCCTTTGGACGAGTCGTCAGCTCGTCTCAAGGCCTCTACCTAACCGCAGGACAACACAAGCACAGAATAAACGCATATACACACTAAATATCCATGCCCTGAGTGGAATTGGAATGCATGATCCCGAGTTTCGAGAGAGACAAGACATGCCTTAGACCGCTCGGCTACTGTGATCGGCAGTGTATAAGAATAATATATAAGAATTCAGTGCGTACCTCACAGGAAACAGATCCGAACCCACGATCCTGGCTTCAGAGAGAGCGAAGACAGTGCATGCCTCAGAACGCTCGGCTACCGTGAAGGGCAGTGTATGAGAATAATATATAAGAATTCACTTCGTACCTCACAGGAAACAGATCCGAAACCACGATCCTGCCTTCAGAGCGAGCGAAGACAGTGCATGCCTTAGACCGCGCGGCTACTGTGACCGGCAGTGTATAAGAATAATATATAAGAATTCAGTGCGTACCTCACAGGAAACAGATCCGAACCCACGATCCCAGCTTCCGAGCGAGCGAAGGCAGTGTATGCCTTAGACCGCTCGGCTACCGTGACCGGCAGTGTATAAGAATAATATATAAGAATTCAGTTCGTACCTCACAGGAAACAGATCCGAACCCACGATCCCGGCTTCCGAGCGAGCGAAGACAGTACATGCCTTAGACCGCTCGGCTACCGTGACCGGCAGTGTGTTACTGTATCAGCCAGATGTGTTCCGCTTGTTGAAAATGACAGCCTAGGAGAACAGGATGGGACGGACATGTAGCTAAGGTTAGGGGGACGAAGAAGTCCTACAGGATTTGTGCTGGGCAAACCACTTGCAAAATCTGAGGATCACATAAACCTGCATATTAGGAGATAGGTAGTAAGGATGGGAGGTGGATGCAACTGGCTCAGGATCGTGTCCGATGACGTGGTTAGGTATTGGCTATTTGGAGCGAGCGAGGAAACAGGGTGAGCAGATGCATGCAGATATCTACTCAAGCTGGTTCTTCGTTAGCGGATTTTATACCCTGAAGATTGAAGCGGTACGTTCCTCGAAATGTCGGTTTACACAACATCCACACGGAACCACATCCCAGAAGACGGAATTTTTCATAATTTTCTCAATTTAATGTATTAATTTTTTAATACCTTAGCAATTATAGATTTCGCCTTGTTTTCCTCTAAATTTTTCCGGAAAACGGGACACCAGAGGGTATGGTGCTTGTGTCCATGTGGTGGCTCGGAGGGCGTTAATGTATTCAGAGCATGCGCCCAGGGAGCTCCGGTATCTGTCTTTTCACAGAGGTCGCCTTTGTTGCAATGAGGTATGGATTACAAAACGAGACAGCAGATCATAGAGTTAATGCAGACACGGGAGAGGAGATGTCAGTGGGCTCGGGAACGTGCTCAGAAAGCCAACAGAATTTGGAAAGAAAAAACAGACAACTCTATCTTAAATTCATGATATAAGATAGTACAAAATCAAATAATAAAATTTAATCAATTTATATATGCGTTATGCAGTGGCCGCCTCTGTGGTGTAGTGGTCAGAATTCCTGGCTACAGATCTAGAGGTGCCGGGTACGATTTCCGGGCTACCATAATTTCTGAAAAGTAGTGAGTCTGGAACTGGGTCCACTCGGCCTCGAAGAGAAAATTCTCAAACAAAAAAGAAATTGTTTTAGTCGGCAAGCGAACTATACCGACTGAACGACCGCCGCTTGTCGGCGAAGTTAGTGCAAACTTTAGCGGCTAGAGGGTGTCGCATGGTCAGCGTAACGGATCCCCACAGCCGTTAATTTCGGTTTTCTAGACCGGAGCCGCTATTTCCTCAAAATAGCTCCTCAATTATCCTCACGAAGCTGAGTGGACCCCGTTCCAGACCCACTACTTCTCAAGAAATCTGGTGGCATCGGTAATCGAACCCAGATCTTTGGATCTATAGCCAGGAACTCTAACCACTAGACCACAGAGGCGGATTCTCAGTCCTCAATAAAAACAACTATGTTCCGTCTGAGAATCGGAAAGGACGTTATGATTTCTTGAGCTTACAGATTTCTGAACGATGCGCCTTTTTGGGACCCATGATACTTAATACCGAATGTACTTTTAAAAAGCAAACTGCGGTTGTGTTTATAGCGAAGGTAGCAATTTGGACTTTCATCAGTGTTAACAGCGCTCACCTTCCCTTTAACCTCCAATTTTCCACACGGCCAACTGTTTTGCTTTTCGAAATTGTAAACTCCGTGGTCTTATTTAGTTTAAGGATAGAAATTAGTCTCAGATGTCGCAGGCGGGTTCGTGCATGGACGATGTGACGCTGTCAGGTTCAGCGCAGGATCTGAAGTCCTAAAGGCCACAGCTATGAAGAATTCTGTCTTCTGCCATATCACGCTGTGGGATTTTTCTGTAGACAAAATGGCGATAGGAGAAATTTTGTCAGAGTATTTCAGTTTCCTCTGCCCATTCTCATTTCACGCGCTGCTCCATGCCAGTTAATTATAATTAACTGGCATGGAGCAGCCAGGATAGGATAATTATCCTATCACCGAAGCCATTATATATATAAAAAAATCTATATGTAAGATTGACTATCCTTCTCTCGTCTATGCAGTATCACGGTTGGGATAAATGTAAGGGAACATCATCAGCATAGTCAGGAAAGTTTCACCCAGAGATAATTCCTATTATGTGCATACAGAATAGATTATGTGCTTAATGAAGGAGAGCTGGTCCCTCGTACAAAAACGACTTGGTTTAGAAGTGCTGGGTCCTCTTTGACGTAATATGCGACTGTTGTAAGAGCACCGTTCTCATTAACGACTAAATAAATTATACTTTTTGTACGTAGCAGGGCTGCTCATGCTTCAAGCAACCGCGTGATGCTGTGACCGTTGAATAAATGAGTTAGGAAACTGTGCGTCCGATGCTCAAACGAGGAAGAGGAAGAGGAAGAGCAGAAGAAGGGCAGCCAGAAGTTACAGCGCGCTCTGTATAGGGAAGGAGGTTGGGCACATGACTGCGTAACTTGAGCATCACAATGCAGGTGGAAACAACAAATTTTATAGTTTAGATACAGTAAAATCCCATGTAGCATAACTTCTAATAAGCATATTCATGCCTTTTCATAGAAATACATTGTTATCATCTTCTCTTTGCTTACACTGTGCACATCAGACTGCGGGAATATGGTCAATTACACGTAAAATAGAATTGCAAACTGTGTGGCTGCCAAACAGTCCAACGTAGAATTGGATTTACCTGTAGGATAGTAATAAATAACATTGATTTAATGAACTACATGGTTTATTGTTTAGTACCTACAATTATGTGAAGTCAAAGTGTTCTGTATAAAGCAGTATTAGAATTCTCCCTTTGTATTACTGCACAGTGTAAAAACTGCAGCAGACCATTCCCTTGAAAATTAAATTAAATTCGTATAGTGGTAGGTGGAGTTCAGCTGGCTTCACTCGGCACATCGGTGTACCTGCCCTGGATGAATATGATGATGGAGCAATTGGTGGAATGAAGATTGGCAGGTGAAACCGAAGTACTCGGAGAAAACCTGCCCAGCGCCACTTTGTCCACCACAAATCCCACTTGACAAGACCCGGGCTCGAACCTGGGCCGCCGCGGTGGGAAGCCAGCAACTAACCGCTTGGGGTATGGCGTGGCCTTAGACCTTTCCCTTGCAAAGTTTTGTTCTTTTGAAAAATCCTGTTTACTTATTTCCCGAGAAAACCAGTAACTGTCAGTTCGGAGATGCGAAAACTTCTACGTACCATCAGACGCTCAGAGACGATCAAATCAAGAACAGTGTGGGCGGATCACGTAGAGCGCAAGGGGAAGAAGAAAGTCATACATAATTTCATTCGTAGAAAATTGAAGGAAATGGGTTCATTAGGCGTCAGAGGAGAAGATGGGTGGATAATATTAAAATAGGCCTTCGAAATACTGGACTGATTCAGCTGGCTGAGAGTAAGGTCCGGTTCTTGGTTCTTATGAATGTTTGGCCAGTACTTTCGTGACCAGCTAAGCGACTATCAGCTTCTCAACGATGGACTTTGGAATGCCAAGCTATCCACTGCAGATAATTACAATATAAAT